CCGGCCAGTGGGTGCAGGCAGCGGGTGCGTCAGCAGCTCCTGGGGCAGCGGATGAAAGGTGCCGTGGGGCGGTGACCGGTGAGCCGTGCCCGCCAGCCGCCTACGTAGCGGTGACGGGGAGTGTGCAGCGGGGCACGGCGGCAGAGATGTGCACTGCACAGAGCCCCTCGGCCGTGTCTGGCACTGCGGGACGCCTTGCCCCGTGCAGCACCCGACAGTTGGAGGCGGCCAGCACCCTCCTCCCGCCAGCTGCCCGCACCCATCGAGCTTGCAGAGCTTCGACGCAGCCCGGCCAGCACCCGCAGGGTGTCTGCTGGGGGCACGGGGGGTCCAGCCAGCCCAGAGCTGCTTGGTGGGCGAGGGGCCAGGCAGGCCCGGCACAGGGCTCGGAGCCCCCCCCCCACGGGCACTTTGTCCCGGGATGCTCCGGCTCTGGGACACAGGCTGAGTCCACCTGGCACCCACACCCTGCCTGCACACCCTGTACCCAAGCTCCTGCCTTCACACCCTGCCTTACCCCCCCTTTCTGTGCCCCTGCCTGCTTCCCCTCCTGCGCTGCCAGAACCGCCCGATGTCCCCGCGCAGAGGGACACAGTGAGGGGGTGACGGGGAGGTGGCAGTGCAGTGACATCCCCGGAGCAGGCACGGATGCTGCGACCACCGTGGGCTGCCGAGCCGGGGTCCCTCCTGCAGCTGGGTGCAGGGGCCACTGTCACCCGCATCCCCAAGGGGGGGTGGGGGTGCAACCTCCAGCCGTGCACCCCAATTCAGCCGAGGAGGGCCCGGAGCATCAACGGGGCGTGGGGACACCAGGTGGGAGCTGCCGTCTGCCCATGCCAGTGCCAGTCCCCTTGTGTGAGCATCTGCCAGCCCCTGCCCCGGGCCCGGTGCTGGGCTGCATCCTGCACCCTGACCCCGCACTAGGGCCGCATCCTGCACCCTGATGCTGCATTGGGGCCGCATCCTGCACCTGGGCCCCATGGCCCAGCCCCACGGCCAGGGATCCCCTGGTTCGGACCTGGAGCCCCCCGAGTGCAGTGGGGACCCCAGAGGCCACAGGCAGGTGCCTCTGCCAGGCAGCTGTGCTGCGTCCCTGGGGGTGAGCAGGAGCTGCTGGTGCGTGTCTGGAGCCACGACGAGTGTCTGGAGCCACGGCTGGAGCCACACCGGGAGCTGCTGGTCCCTTCCTTATCTGATCCTCAGCTGTGGGCAGCACGCCCAGCCCTGGCCCTGGTCCTCTCCCCAGCGCTGCAGCACCTTAACCCCCCCGCCCCCCAGCCTGGCCCTGCTCAGGGGGGCTGCGTGCCCAGGGGGACGGCACCCCTGTGACAGGGTGCTCCCTCCCAGCACCCCTTGTTCCCCCACGGGTCCCTCCCCATCACCCTGCTCCTCCCCGCGGGTCCGTGCCCATCACCCGGCATCGCTTGGCGTCGCTTGGCTCTTGTGTCGTGTCGTGCTGAGGTGCGGCGCTGCCTGGGGGTCTCAGCTGCTGCCACACCCACCCGTGGGGCAGCGACCCGGCCCCCACACTGGCCAGTTCTCATGCTGGAGCCGTGTGTGCTCACGCCAAAGTGGTGGGTCCTCACACCAGTGTGGTGGGTGCTCACACCAGTGAGGTGGGTGCTCACGCTGAACCCATGTGTGCCACGCCGGTGCGGTGGGTGCTCCTGCTGGTGAGGTGGGTGCTCACGCTGAACCCATGTGTGCCACGCCGGTGCGGTGGGTGCTCCTGCTGGTGAGGTGGGTGCTCACGCTGAACCCATGTGTGCCACGCCGGTGCGGTGGGTGCTCACGTTGGTGAGGTGGGTGCTCATGCTGGACCCGTGTGTGCCACACCGGCGCGGTGGGTGCTCACACTGCTGTGGTGCATGCTCACACTGGTGTGGTGCGTGCCACAGCAGGCCGGGGCTGGGTCTGGGCACTGCCCAGCACAGGAGAGACAGCCCAGCGAGGTGCAGCCCAGGGCCGGGCACCTTCGTTGAGGTGAACACCAGAAGCTGCCCGAGAAGCACCAACACGGGCAGGGCTCTGCCGGGACAGTCCCCGTGACCCTGTGAGCGGGGCCGGGGCCGGTCGTGCTGCTGGACCAGCGCTGCACCCCAGCACAGCCCAGCTCCCCCATGCCGGGTCGGTCGGCATTGCCTCCCCAGGGGGTGCCCTGCCCCGGCACCCAGGGTGCAGAGAGTGAGGGCAGCATCCCAGGGTGCCTGGGGGCTTGGGGCAGTGGGGCTGGGACCATGGGGCTCAGCTGGGCACGGGGACTCGGGGCTCCCGGTGTGTTTGGGAGCATTGCCCGCGGCTGGTGCTGGCGGCACTCGCTGCTGGGGGTGGCCCTGGGACGAGGGGCTCTGCTGTGGGCTTGCTGGGGTCCTGGGTGGCACTGGCTGCTGGCACTGACGGGGACC